TTTGTTTCCCAGTTTAGAAGATGAGTGATTAGTTTTTCATGCAAAAGCAACAGCACCTTTTTTTGTTTTGCTAAACACTTAGGTGGAAATGACCCCTTTAAGGAAGGAGAAAAGAAGAGCAGAGCCATTCAGGAATTAGGATGGCAATTGGTAGAATATTTCTCTTTCTTTCTTCTTTCCTCCTCCTTGTACATAGCAACCTGCACAGATATTGCACGCTAGAGGGCACTTGAGGTAGAAGAAAAAAAGCCTCGACATCCACTCTAACAGGACTAGTCGCCTATGCAGGCGGGAGACGGCAGCCTAAAAGCAGTGCCTTGATTTCCACATGGCAGCATCTTTAGCAAAAGAACAAACAAAAATCCTTAGTATTATCCAGCTTTGACTAATAAAAGAAGCATGTTCACATTCTCAATAATTCATTTCCCTTCAATATCTTGTAACATTTGTCCACTGCATTTATATGTGGTCTTCTCTCTAATAAGCGACTGGATAACTAATCACAACTATAAATTCCATTTTACACATAGTAAGATAATTGTTTTGCCTTCACCTCCCCTCCTCCATACATCTGTATTCCCCTATACATCTGTAATGGTACCTTAGTGTAAGTGTGCAAATATCAAATAATGGTAATCTTCTAAGCCAAACTTAAAATTAATTAAATTTAATTATTATATTTTAGTATTAAATATACTCTGTTATACCAACGTAGTAGTATTTCAAGGAGTGGGGTACCTTTTATACTCCTCTTTCTTCTTTTTTTACTCTTACTCTTTTTTCTTCTTTCTTCTTTTTACTTGGAACACATTGTGAACTATTTTTAATTTTTTCCTCCTTTTTGCTCCTAAGTTAAACAAGAGTGGTCTAGAATCTTAATCTAGTTGGTATTCTCTTACAGAAGAAAAAAAAAAAAGATAGAAAAAAACCAAAACACTAATATGCTAAGTGTGTAGTCCACAAAAGCTGGACTGGTTTATTGGATAGCTTTGTACCAGTCCTCTTAAATCTATCCAGTACCCCACCTGCTGCCCACCCGACCAAGTTTCTGTTCAGAAGCTGAATTGAAGCTTATCTCTTTTCTAGCACCTGGGAAGATGGGAGATAATGCCATTTGGAAAACCTTCTCCAAAATGCTCTCAGCACAGATGTGGTTTTCAGAAAGTGTTTACACCTCCATTTACTGAAAATATAATGACAAGCTCAAGATTAGTAATTATAGTCAATATTCAGAGATTCAGGCCTAATTTCAGGGACAGCTAAAACCAGCAAGCCAAGAAATGTAGAGCGTCGCAACTCTGAATAGCAAGCTCAGTGATGATTTTATGCCAAGAATTCATAACTACTTCTAAAGAAATCAATTTAGTTTTTCAAATCCCATGCTAAACATTAGTGAGGTACTCAGATGATAAATTTAGTGTGCTTACACTTTTATTCTTCTTTTCAAATCTTGTTTTTTAAGATAGTAGTTTGTCTTAGAATATTCTGGGACAAAAACAGTAAACGTTAATACAATCTACTATTTTATTTTTTTCTTCTCTTTATTTATGTCACATGAGAAAGAAATTGCCTAAAGCAGTGTTCTCAGACTTTATCAGGTAACAGAATCTCCTGGGACACTTGCTAAAACCCAGATTTCTGAGCCCCACTCAGATTCAGGGTCCAATAATTTGCATTTCTAACAAATTACAGTGAATATTGAGGCAGAAGCTTGTCCAGGGTTTCAGGTTGAAAACCACTGGCCTAAAGGAATCCTCAGAATTGCTCACATTTGTTTAACGGGAGCACCATTGTATCTTCTCATAAACTTAGTAAGAGAATGGTTTAAAGCAAATTCATAAACAAACAAAACAGCTATCCTAAATTTACTTAAACATTTACAAACTTCTCAAAACTTCTTTCTTAATGTTTTTATTCTTATGACTTATGCTTCAATACTGGAATCCAAAATAAAATTTATGTTTCTTATGCTTAATGCCAGAGTTGTTATATATTACTTACCCACGCCCCATACCCCAAATAAAGGGCGTGGTTTCAGACATCTTCATCCTAATGAAATACAGGAAAGGGACTCTGCATTTCTGGAAGAATATTACATGGTAATTTGAGTTGGTCTTTTTCATAAGTCAGATTCTTGAGATTTTATTTTAAATGATAATACCTGGCACATAGATATCACATTACAAGCAATTCAATAAATCTAAAGGTTACCAATAATCATAATACGGTAAATTCATTTTGGTTTTAGTTTGTTTTAATTTTTAATTCTACATTGATGAATGAAAACTACAAAACATTGCATTTTAATGCAGCCAATAATAGTTATGTTCCATTCTGTCATTTCCTGCTCCAACCAGAGGAGCTGGAGTCTTCCTAACACTCTCTCCGTCTTCTTCAGCTCTGTTTCCTATGAACCATCTGATTCCCTACTCTGCAACTCACTGGCCACTTGGTTTACTGTCTCCCTTGGTCAAAATTACGACAAAGGTTCCAGTCATAGTGAAAAAATAAAAGTATCTTTCACTACATGGAGTCCCTCTGTATCTCATTCACTCTCTACAGTAGATTCCCTTGCAAAACTGCCTGTCTGTCACGGAGACCCAGGCTAGAGACATCCTGCCTCATTCTACTTTTTGCATTAGTCAGCCAAGGTTATTCTGAATGCAATCTTCTCTCCCTCCTCCCAACTCCTTCTCCAATTATACTCCTGCCCTATCAGATCATTCCTCACCCTTCCTCCCCTGCAATGCTCCACAACACACGCAATTTCAGTCGCCATTCTAAAAAGCCTGTGTACCACTGTGTTCCTCTTCCCGCTGGAAGGCTGTAACCCTGGAGAGGATGTTGAGGATGTTGAAAGAGAGCATCGTCTACTTTCTTAAGGGGGTAGGCTCTCACCATTGTGACATGGCACTGCATCTTATTAAGAGTGGGTGGAATTGTTAAAGAGATAAATGCCTTGTCTTTCAGCATCCCTGATTATTTAAGAAATATCCTTATAGGGGCTTTTTAACATTATCCAAATCCTCTATCACACTGCTTAATCATCCAAACCTCTCTTAAGAATTAGTCAGGAAATTCCTACTCCTACGCTTTCAGTAGATATTAGCAGGTACAGATAGGGTTACCCTGAATTCCAGAGGACCAAAATTCAGGGAAGATAATGTATATAACTGCTGTAAGAGTAAATATGGACAAGATGAGTTAAAGCAAACTCTTCTTAACCCTAGATACCCAGAGCCATTGGATTCTGGCTCTCTTTAAAAACCATTGGATTCTGACTATCTTTGTCAGCATAGTTTGTTAAGAAAATGAGATTTGAGGATATTGTCTAACAATCTGGCTTTTTCTTTTTCTTTTTGAGATGAGTTTGTTACTTGTGACAATCCCCAGCTTTCAGTAGCATATGACTTTTATTTTAGTTCTCATAGGTGTAAGAAGTTACCCCAAGGAAAGGTTCAAATTATTTGTTCAAAGTGAAAATGAATGTCTGAAATTAAGCACAACCCAAAATGTGATCTATTTCTTTGTCCACTTGGGACTGTCTGGTCTAGCAGCAGTTATAATTTGATTGAGCCTTGACTGCTGCTCCTTTTTCCAAGACAGAATTAGCCAATTCCAATACCCTGTAAGCAGACACAGTCTGAGAAGAGAACAAACAGTTACTTAGTGACTGCCTGGGGGGAGAAAAATACCACCTGGTTCTCTTCACCTCTCCCTCTCTGAAATAATCCACTAAGTTTCTTGCCCATGACAGCTCCAAAGTGAAACAAACCGATATTAGAGCTACAGTCAATATTCTTTTTCACATTTCACAATGGGTTGTTAGATGCAGCACATAAAAAAATGTCAAATTTGCATAAATATCATAAGCATATTGTGCCTATTTTCTCATTCTGTTCACTCTTTCTCATTCATTCGAGTCAGACAGTACAAGCTCTACAGACCGTGCGTCTGGTCCCTTGCACCCCTTTCCCCTTTCTGTTCTGGCTCTGTCCCCAGATGGTAAAATCCACCCACAGGCTCACGTCTAGTGCACTCAGGGAAGGGACTAAATCGGGATCTCCTGTGGAGGGGAGGGATTTTTTTTTTTCAGGTAAGAATTAATTTGTCTTATATTTAGCTAATTTTATTAGAAGATGATCACAGTGGCATTGTCTACATGTTAGTCCCAGTGTTGAAAAGAAAAGAAATCTGGACCTCCTGATTCATGATCCCTGTAACCCCAGGGTGGCCATTTCTCAGGATTTGAGCGCAGCCCATCAGAAGACTTGAAGTGGCCACAAACAGGGCAGATTTTGGTGGAGGCAGGAGAGCTGCAAGGATGGTACCTGAGAGGATATGAGATCAGGGCACATTGAGAAGACCTAGCAATCCTCCCCTATTTCCCAGGCAAGTTCTGCTTTGCCTGCCCTCCTCCCCACAACCAATTACTGCGCTCCCCTCCTTGCTGCCCCTCTACTGCCCCTCATCCTATTTTCCCAAAGGAGCGCGAGGACATCAGGAATGTGCTCCATCACAGTACCGCGACACACAGCCTCTAAACCATAGCGTCTGAGTTGCAGGTAGGGGTCTCACAGTCACCCTATTCTGTACGCAAGAGGCCCTTGGAATAAAGCGGAGGTAAACTGCCCACTCTCAACCCTTTGCCCTGTCGCGTCCTCTTCCTTCTACCGAAAACAGCTGAGAGTCACTGAGACGCTTTACAAGATAACGCCAGCCCCAGAGCTCAGGTGAGACCTCTAGAGAGAAAGCTCGCGGGTACCTCCTCCGCATGCTGTTATCATCTGCCAGCCCCCTTATCCAGGAGCTCGGCCCTCGGCAGACTGCCCGCACCGCGCGGAAGGGCGCATCTTCACCCCGTGGCTCTGGCGGCAGAGACGCGCGGGGCGTGCTCGGGAGCGAGGAGAGAAAAGTTGTGCGCCCACTTGGGTAGGGGGAAAGAGAGCGATCGAGCCAGCGCGCGAGAGCGAAGGGGGAAGGCGGGGAGGGGGCGGGGAGGGGGGACTGCTTACATGAATTTCCAAGTGGTAGACCTGCCTCTGCGCTCTGCCCAATGAGATCCGTCAGGGGAGGCACCCGGCTCACTTTTCCACATCACTTCACAGTTACATTTGGCAGGCAGGCGGGCTCGCACGCCGGAGCGCTCAGCCCAGAATTAGCGGATTTATTTGGAATCTCCCTGCCTCTTCCAAGCTCCGCCGCCGCCGCTGCCGATTTGTGCATAGACGGTAGCGTCAAGCCACCAGCTTCACTTTGGGCTGCGGACACCCAGAGCCCTGCGCGCCCGCCCCGCGTCTCCGAACCAAGCCCTGCAGCTCCGAGAGGCATGAACGGAATCCGGAGGCGCCTGCCTAGCGCGCGAGGACCGGTCGGCGCTCGCCGCCCTCGGGAGCTGACCCCGAGCCCCTCCAGCCATTTGTGAACCAAGAGGCTTGACATTAGCCAGCGCAGGGCCCCACACGAGTAAGTGTTCCCCTAACCCAGCCCCGTTTTTCTCTATGTCCCGACGATCCAGAAGGGACCGTTTCTTACAGGAATTCTCGTGCCCCTTCGGACACCTTGCGCTCCTCCTACCTCTCAGATGGTGGATGCGGGTTCCTAGCAAAGGCTCGGGGCTAAGCTGTGTCTTTCGCGATATCCATGGGTGATACGTACGTTCGCCTCAGGGTTTGGCCTGTTTTTGCAAACTGCTTTGACAACAGATCCTAGAGAGTAGCAAGCTCCAGGCTGTGCCCCTCCAGTTTTCCTGCCGCTTTCCTTCCCTGCGGGGACTTGACTATTTCGCAGCCTCCCAACGCAGGCAGGCGCGGCTGCAGCCGCGCGCCTTCACTGCGGGGTGCGTGCGGTGAATGAGAAGCACCAGCCGCCCGCTGTGCGGAGGGTGCAAGCCAGGGAAAAAAGGAGGTGAGGGGGCCCGAGTGCCCTATGGCTGGTTTTCTGCACCGCCTCATCTCCGAGGCGAGGGAGGGCGACCCCCGCGGCAAGGCTGAGGGCCAAGGCTCAGCTGCGAAAGCCCCAGGGCGAGGCTTTCCCACAAGTGGCAGCTCCAGCTCTGGGAGGCGCGGTGCCCGCTGCAAACTTGCCGGGCTCCGGAGTCGCCCCGCGGCTCTGCCCTCGCCAAGACGCTGCCCAGCACCCCTGCAGGACCCCTAGGCAGTGTCTCCCCGGAGCTCGAGATTGCGCGCACGGAGGCCCCTTTAAGCCGGGGACTCCGTAGTCCCTCTCCTAGGGACCGCTGAGCCCAGAGCTGCGCTTTCTGTGATCTGGCCGCTTCTCATCCGAGAACCTTTGGGGGGCTGGTCGCGCCCCTCACAGGACCGGAGGGAAAAAGGCTCTTGCCTGGGTTCTGCCAGTACGTAACAGGTTCATAAGGAACCTACTCCCGTTCTCCCAGGCTCCAGCCAAGGCTGGGAAACGGTAAAAACGTGCTGCCGACAACGCTGATGCCAACAGGTATCCACAATTTCCTCCGCTTATTCCTCCCAAACACCAGAGACTTCCCCCACCCAATCTGGCAGAATCCTCAAAGTTTCCTTGCGGTTGACCCTTCCTCCGCAGGCACGGAGCCGGCGGCATGTCAAGGACTAGCCGTTTGCCTCCACCAGCGGAGAGGGCAGCTGTTTGCTTGGGTTCCTAAATGTAAGAAATCAAACAACATTAATTGTTTATTGTTGCAAACGCACAACATTAGTCCATAATGGAAAATCAGGCTGGCAGCTGCTCACTTCAGCACCAATCAAACGATAGAGCTTATCACCAAGACAGCGGGAGGGGGGAAAGGTCCTTTCAACTTTACCACCCTTTCCTGAAGATTCCACAAGAGTTTCCTCCTTAGGAGGCATGATTCGACAATCCCTTAGCGCGCCCGAGCTGCTAATCAGATCAGCTGCTTTCTTTCACCCGGCGTCATGGTATTCGGGCGCTGACAATGGGAACGAGGGGACGCTAGGGAAGGTAAGCGAGAGTGCTGTCCTCTCGCATCCGGCACCATTGCAAAGCAGATCCGAGGGATGAGGGTTGGCTTTTGAAGCGCCTGTCCTCTTTACAACACTCCTGACAGCCATCTCAATGGTTAAAAACCCTTCTTGGGCTGTCACCTCCGGCTTCATTATAGGAGCTTTTCAACTGGAAAACTCTATGTGGGAAAGATGTTTATGTAAGATTCGAAAGCGGGATTTTCCATCCATTCAGCCTCGCGGCTGCACCTCACTGCATGCAAAGTGAGCCCTGTCGTTCATGCTAAATACCACTAAAATCCCTGCCTAGATATTGCTTTGCATCAGCTGTGTCCACTGTTGCAGGGATTTCTTCGTGTGTGTGTGTGTGTGTGTTAGAGAGAGAGAGAGAGAAAGATAAGGTGGGGGCTGGGAGTGGGATTCTTCTACGGAGAGAAGTGATACCTTTGAAAGATGTTCTCTTAGGGTTACATTCTTTTTCCCTTAAAGGGAATTCTCCATAATCATCATGTCCGGACATGTTTTTCCACTTCCCCGAGCTCTGTGGCTGGAATAAATTCTAGAGCTATCCCCCTGATTAAATAATAATTCTGATAATAGTATTCTGTAATTCTGCTTTAGCAGATTTGAAGCTCGCTGTCACATAGTCATTTCATGCTGGAGCAGTTGCAGTATTTTAAATCACCTTTTTTTTTTTTTTTTTTTTTTATCCCCCGGACTCTGAAGAAGGCAAGGAGTTGAGGAAAATCCCTCTGAAAATAGAGAGGGGAGTCTTCCCAGCAACTCTGGGGACTGCTTCATTCAGAGACCTTCAGTGGCAGTTTACCTTCCTCATTCTGATCCCCACACTCCCCTAGTGAATGTCTAGTTATCCCCTGACCATCACAAACAGGCCAAATGTTTTAGAGGCACTGGATAATGTGCTCTGAAATTTGTGCTGTAATGCTGTCATTCAAACTTTTTAATCTACTTGCCCTGCAAATTGGATCTTACATTGCTAATTATTATTACTATTAGAAATCAGTGCTTCTGCTTTACAATTTACAGTCTCTTAAAACCTTCAAGATGGGTAAATCTCTACATTCAAGACTCTGTAACATTTCTTGGCTGCATTTCTGGTGTGTAGGATGCATTTCTTGAGTTCTTGAAGCTTCATGAATTTAGCTAAAAGAACAGAAAATTTGATAGCAGCCCTCACTAGAATAGCAGTTCCATTTGCCTGCTGTACACATATCAACTCTGAAGGGAAGGAATTCCTTACCCTGGAAAACAACTTTATTTGGGTATTATGTAGAACTGTGGTCAACACAGTATTCATTTTTAGCAACCCCTCAATTAGCACTGAACACAATTTAAGTAGCCAATGGCAGCATGATCAATGTAAAACAAAACAAACAAACAGCCCGTGAAACATGCTCAGCCGGATGGAGGAGACCACTTGAGAAGGCATTTGTAAAGACCGATGTGAATGTACTCAAAGGTCTGATACTGCTTGTTAGTCAGGAGGAACAGATTGTTGGAACAAAGCAAAGAAACTCCAAAGAATGAGAATGTAATGATTCTATTCAAGAAATTGTACCTCTGGGCTTTGCTTTCCAGGTTCCTTTCATTGTTTGTTGGTGGGGAAAAAGAACATGCACATATTAAAAAGTTCAAATCCACACTTCAACAGCTGTTCAAAAAACCTTATCGATGTGGGTAAATTAATGCTTTAAAGAAAAAAATGACAATCTTTGTTATTTTTCTACTCAAGGTGGCACACCTCACAGCTTTATCAACATTCCAATTTGAGCAGATTTTCCATGCAAAACCAAAGGCTTTCAATGGGTAAAGTGACATTCAATTTGTATTTCCAACCACACTTTTCTGGTCCATTAGCAAACTTTCGTGTCTGGCAAATCAAGGGACAAGCATCATTGGAGAAGCCTTTCTATTATAGGTGCAATTTAAGGTCTGAAGACTTCTTTTTGAAAATATTCTGCTCAGTGGTGTGCTGATACTGATTTCAGTCATTTTATATTTGTTACAAAGTTATTCAGTGCAGCTGGTGGAGAAAAACAGTTTTCTTTTTGTTTTCAGCACTATTGGCATTCACAGAGGAAATGGTCTAACTTAGCTTTTTAATTCAGAAAAAAAATGTCCTAACTTTGGTGTGTTATACACCTCTCAGGGTGGGGGCGGAGGTAGATAAACCAATGATAATTCTTGTTGCTCTGTATTACGTACACACACACACACACACACGCACGCAAATAACACACACACATATACACAGCTTGCCTCTTGAAAATGTGCCCAGATAACTAACTTATTTACTGGCTCAAGTCTGAGATTTTTATCATGTTCCCTTTGCCATTTCATCTGCCTTAGATTCTTTGATTTGCCTCTCTGGCTACTCTGATTTGTATATTGATCAGTCTCCCAAAAAATGTTATCTGTGGTGCTCGGAATTTCCCTCCAGCATCCAATACATGTATATTTATGAAACAGAACAATTTTTTTTGATGGACAAAGGCTATCATCCGATTTAGCAGGGCTTAATCAACCAAAGGGCTATTAGTGCTTTCTCATTTCATTCTTACAGAAAGTTGTGATGCTAATCTATTTCTGCTGAACTGTTGGTTCCTGTCTCTGGAACCTGCTTTAGATGTAACCATGAAGAGAAAATTAGTTGAACCTGGCAACTTCAAAAGGTCAGTAAAGAAATAAGTTCAAGGGATGCCATTTAGCTTCTACCATATGTTGCGGCTAACTAAATCTCGGTTGCCTTTTCATGGCAAAGCACCGGGGCCAACACTGTTTCTTTTTCTTATCAAGTTTTAAGCTTTATTTCCTGGGTTTTAAATGTCACGTGCTATTCCCTATCATAAACAATATCCATCCTCTTGCTTAGATGACTTTGTGTGTGTGTGTGTGTGTGTGTGTGTGTGTGAGAGTTCTCTAAGTAGGTAGAGGTATATAGATGTGATTTTCTTATCTCTTTGGAAAGTATCATAAATGAATAACATTTATATTTAGAGACTTCAAACAATTTTCTTTCTCTGCCTCCACTGCCAAAGACAATTGCAAATGCTAGAACGATGGATGGTTCAGGGCTAAGCACAGTTAGTGCTCAGTAAACGTTTATTTAATGCAATAACAAATTAGCAAAGATTATACCCTGCACGCTATACTAGTATATTTTCATTAAAAGAAAGAGATACAGTCATATTCAAAGTTCAATATTATGACTTATCTACCACAATTTTCTCTACAGAAATTTCATAAGTCCTCCTAAGTCTATTTTTAGTCATAGCTTTCCTCATTTTTAAAAATCAATTTTACTCATGTTCCACAAAGCATATTTTTGTTCCCTCACAATCATCTTTTAAATGATATGGGAATATAAAAAATGACATAATTCAGCTTTGTAAAAATGAGAATGCCTCCAAGACTAGACTTGCATCAAAGAATGCTATTAAACTATATTTGATGCAAAGTTCTATTTTATTGGCCAAAAAATGCACT